AGTTAAAGAAGCTTAGAATTCTGACCACTGCAAGCAGCACAATTTCTAAAGACAAGTCAGTCCACTCACACTGAATTCATTCATACTAAATGGACTTACAACACACTGGACCAAAAAATAGAATTTTAATGAATTCCTATGTCATATTTTCATAAAAAAAAAACTGCAACCAAAGATCTTAATTTTTGAACCCTTGAAGGTACATGAAGCGAGCCCCAACATTAATAAGCACAAAATGCAGCTAACTTCAGAGTAACAATTAGGGTCATTACTTTTGCAATTTTATGGTATGCTGAGATCACTAGTGAACAAAAGGCAGTTGGTGGATTATTGTACTAAATGTCAACTTTGGGTAGATTTACATGTACAGTAGCTTCATGTGTTTAATTCCAGTGCTCAACTCAATTACACAGTTACATGTACAGTGTATGAAAAACACAATCATGTCAATCATGTAATAAAGGAATTCGCCACTAACCAGACCAGGTCCATGTGTTCAGTCAATAGCCTGTCTATTTCTTGTCTGGCCTTCTTGTCCACGGTTTTTTCCTTTGCCTCCTTGTACCTCGTGCAATCAGTGCATTTAGTGAACCGATTTTCCTGTTAAAATATAAACAGTTCAGCCTATCATAATTAAAATGCATTGTGTTGTAGTTTAAAATAATTTCCACTCAAGTAAAATAATTATTCTACATGTAAATCAGGGACAACTGACAGGTCTGCTTAGTTTATAATTATTGTTTATAATAACTGCCATATGTAGATTGCCTTAGTGAAAAAAACACGGGTATAGTGAGCATTTGAAGTGAAGATACCTTGGTCAAGGAACTGAAATCTTCAATTGATACAGGTCATAACACCTGCCAGTAGGCACAATAATCAAACTTGTACAATTAATTTGCAATCTGGAATTTGATGTGTTTATTGATCCTTGGGAATGGACCTTTTGTCCCCTTATTGGTGCCTGTCTTTAGTTTTCTCTCATCCTCAAGTCAATGTTAAAACAGTTCAGGTTGCCAATGAATCTTAGTGGGTAAACTGACACTGTCAAACTGAACATTGCATGGAGGAGAGGGGGAAAATGTTCTTGGTGTGTCAACTGTTAGGTGTTAACTTGTGTAAACGTATGATCTATATGTACATTATACACCACTCTACCAAACCAACATCCTTACCTTTGGTATGACAACATGTGGAAAGTGGTCATGAAAGATTGAGTAGAACTGTGACAATCCAATAGAGGGAGTATTGAAAGACTTATTCTCTTCACACAACCGTCGATAAATGCTCAATCGCGTGAAACACGAAGGCAAATGAATAGTCTTATTGTCTGGCTGGTACTGTCCAACACAGGAGATGAAGAACTGTAACCATGCAATGCAATCTGTGGTTCTCTGTGATGGTTTCTTGTTACCTTTGTTTCCATGCTCCACTTCAACTGCACCCTCCTTGAATTTGTTAAATAGCCTCCTAAACCATTCCTTATTGATACTATGAATCAACAGCCACACTTCTCTACACACCGATTTTCCTTTCACCATAAATTCTGTCACGTAATCTCCTGAATAATCAGCCTGACTGTGGTCAGACAGATATGAGAGCACATAGTTGCGTCGCTGTGTCTGATCCATGTTGCGGAAGTGCAATTCAGTAGCATTTACATCTTCTACTGAGAGTTTCCTCATACACTTTTTTTCACAGCAAGGCATAGCCAACAACCACAGTATACACTCATCATCCCGCACTACAGTGTACAGGAAATTGGATTTTGACATTGGGAATAATGGAAAAGAAACAATTATTATGAGTTGCATTTAAACAGGGAAAATGAAACGAATGACCCAATCCATGCACCATCCCCCAGCAAACATTAATTTGTTATAACTATACCTAGAAGCTTATTAAGTACTGTGTGACTTGAAGCGCTGCACACAACAGAGATATTCAGTGTATCATCAGGAAAAATCAATTTGATTCCAGTAAAATAAATCACAAGGTGTCATAATCATTGTATTGTGTACTTCACTTTGTGGTGTGATTTCCTTCCAGTGTGATCTCAATTATCAAATATCAAATGAAAGTGTCACCAAAGAATAACTGCAGAAGTACAGGTTTAATGACTCTCACTGTATTCAACATCAAAAAGATGTCAAACAACATACATGTATTTTGCTGAAAAGGTGACAAAATTAAATAAATGTGTTTTACATACTCTACATCTATAGGAGTATTTCAAATCTAAAAACTAAAATTTATGTATATGATGTGGTGAAAATTTTTCTTTGGTTTAAAATTTTTCAAATCAGTATAACTTTTTGTTTCTCTTGATAATGATCTCTTTCTGATTTGAATTAAAAGAAAATAAAATTTTAACTAGTTTAAAAAATTCTATACCAAAGAAGAATTTGCATGAACCACCACATTTACTGGCCTGCTTATATGATGTAATAACAAATATTTGTTTACGATTTGTTTCCCAATAACCAACACTTTCAATCAATTTACAAAAATGGCATTTTATGAATATTGAGAGAACATATTAGCACAGTTGCTTTTCTCTACAGATTTCAGTATCTACTTAAATTTTCGATGTTAAAAACTTGAAATATTACAAAGAATGTATGAGCTCATTCTTGCAACACTTTTGCCATGTAGTAATTTCGCATGTTCTTGATGGCTGAGATATTGTTAAGCATAACAGGTAGAGAGACTAAACACCACTCATGGCACTCCCACTCTATACACACCCCAGTCTGAACTACTCATCATCACATGACCTTACTGAATTTTTCTCTTTAACACTTTTTTCAAAATCTTTCAAGCTAACACCTCGCTTAATTAAAGCATCCACACCAGCATAGCGGTCATTATCCATTGCTGCATGTTTGTGTTCAGCAGTATCTAAATGGCTCTGCAGTTCTGCATACTTCTCACCACATAACTCACAAAAATATTGCTTATTTTGTTGATCTCTCTTTATACTAATTAAATCCTTATTAGCTGCCGAGTTCTGTTTGTACCATGTATCAAAAGGAGAACAAGACATTGGAACTGTGATGTCCATAAAAGGAAAACTTTTAAATTCAACAAATTCTGGCCTATATTTTCTACTTTGATCTTCGACTTTAATAAAGGGTGCCTGAAGTTTCTTTACATTATACCTTATCCTGTTGGTGAAAATCTGTCTTACAGTGATAGAGAATCTCTTTGTAATCAATTATTGGAATCGACCATTTTGCAGCAAACGATTCAACTGAAAATGAGCCACTTTTCTTGTTGGCTTTATCCACCATTTGCTGGGATCTTGTGAACTTGGGTTTGGGTAATTTTAAGTCTGTAGTCTTTCTTAATAATGTCTTATCAATAATGATAGCATCCACCTTTTTATCAAGGAAGTTAAAGATATGGCCTCCGTGAAATTTGATAAATTCCCTTATCTGACGAGTACTTTGTGTAGAACTGTTTAAAAACAGGAAAACTCCTTTTCCTAACAATTCAAAAGGCCGACAGATTTCCAAATCTGTGGATTAAAATATTTTATTATGATTAGTTCTTAGCTAGTACATGCTGCTTCTTGTTTCCAGACAGATTACAAGTACATGTACAGTCTCATGCCAAAAGCACTTTGATTTTTGTGGCCAGTTCATCACAGTGACAGTAATGTTTCTTTTCCAAGTCGTCAAGATTTCCTATATAATTGTGCTACTTTAATAACATCATGATGATCAATGGCAAATACCGGACAAGATTCTCAAAAAAAAAAAAATTAGTGTTAAAGATGATTCTAATTTAGTGCTACCTCAGGAATGCATAAGAGCTATATGTTTTTAGAACTCATCTTCATAAACTACTAGACACTTCTTTATTATTCTGTAGACAACTTACCATTTTTACAGCTTGATTTCTGAGATGTTTCGGGTTTTTGCTCTCTTCCCACATTCTCTGTAACTTATAAAGAAAACATGTCATTAACTAATTCATCAAATAAACTCCGTAACAATGACCGTAAAAATTTAATTATCACCGCAGTGTTAAATGAAATAAAACACTAAAACAGCTACGATACTGTTTAAATTGCAGTTATTCAGCTATTGGCAAGAATTATTTTCCGATTACCCTTTGCTTTCCAAAAGGTTGACAATGCACAACAGTCCTTAATTATTCTTCTTTTTTCTTCTCTCTTTGTTCAATACTCAGTATCATGCTTAAATGAAAACGCGTATAGTCAGTTTATTACACACTGTCGCATACACTATACAGTGTACTTTTAGATAGGCTACATCGTCTATATATTTCTTTCTGCGATTACTTACTGATAGTATTCAAGCTGATTGATTCCAGAGATGAGTCAGGTTCAAGCTCTGATTCCAGATTGCCTGCAAGTAAATCAAACTAATAATTCTATCAAGACTTTATCAAGACTCAATCTCGATCTCTCGATAAACAGAACGCAACCTGGTCAGCGGTTTGTTGCCCCGGCTTCTCGTCCGTAGAGCCCGCGATCCTTCTGGTCTTCGCCAGGGATGAACGAGCATTGAATCGAAGTAGTGAGATAAGCAGTGAAAGAAACGATATCCAGCCTGCGTAGCAAGCGTTTCTGTGGGGTTCGGGAGCAAAGAATTACAGCGCGAAAAATGGAACGAGTAAAAGAGGGGGGAGGGGGAGGGGAAGGAAGGAAGGAAACGTTTCCTTCCTTCCCCTCTCCCACCCTCCTCTTTCTTTTTTTTTGGTTCACGCCCCATTTTCCGCGCAGACAAAACACCGAGAATCCCCTTCCTCGGTCTTTCTTTGCTTCCAAACTCCCCGGAAACGCTTGCTACGCAGGCTAAACGATATCCTGCGTAGTCTAACGAAACAACTGAAACATTCACAATGATTTAGGAGGGTTTTTTTTTCTGAGGATCAATGAGTATTAGACCCCAATACTCTAGCCTTTACCAAACTCCCCTTACTAGTAGTCTTTAATTATGCAAATATTGAGGGCTATTACTAAGAAAATATCGCGAATAAGGCCCGGTTCAAGTGCAGAACCTAATACCAATTTGGGTCGACCAAATAATGAAGTTCAGCAGTTGATTCAATCGTCGAACCTAATTTAGTCGAACTTAATTGCAAAAGTATAAAAAGAGACAATATTGCAAATGGCGATAATTGCTGAGCAAAATGGCGGAAAAAATGTGGGAAAGACACATTTTGGAAAAAAAGAGATTGCTTTTCTTGCAAGTGCGATCAAGGAGGGTAGAACAAGTCCAAGAAAGCGGAGAAAAAGGCGACACCAGACGCAGTTGGCATTTAAAACAAGCGAAGAAGGTTTTTGAATTTGGTTTGCCTTCTATTATTGGTCATTCCCAAAGGAACATCACAGTTCAGTCCTCGTCCAGTTCGTTCCTGTCGTCGGTTTCTGAAGATTTATTTAAGCTTATTTTGTCATTTTCTCTCAAAAGTACGCCACCGAACTGCCTACTCTCCAATCCGTTACACTCTCGTCGTTTTCAAATACGGAACACCGTACAAAAGTGGTTTATCCACATAAAGCGCAAGTGTATTTCGTGCTCTCGAAGCAAGAGGTACACATATCTTCCTGATTTTCCCGCCCTTTTGTTCCAAAAGATCAAAACAAGCTGTGTATGTAATTTATGTAATGTATTTGTAATATATGCCTTAGGTTCGGTACATGAAAAGTTTACGTTTGAATCGGAGCCGCTCCGTAGTCGAATTGACCGACTGGCCATGGCGAACTTAATTCTCGGGTCTACCTAAATAACATTCGTCGAAGTTATTGATCAGTCAAACGGCGATCTCGTCAAATACTTAATTGGGGCTATTAGGTTCGGCTCATGAAAAGTTCGACGCTTGAATCGGGTCTAAGTTGTGCTGTGAAAACGATTTAAACAGCGGTTACTCCCTTAAACCACCTCTCCTGAGACACCGACTGAATATAAAGAAAAGTTTTTATGGCTATGGAAGAGACGTGACTTGGCCAAGAAGCGCTCCTGGCGTAATGACGCCTGACGGGGATTTTCCGAGTGACAGCGTGTCAGTTTGGCAACCGGCGGAGAGTAAAGAAACCGCCAAAGAGTAAAGAAACCGCCAAAGACTACCCGCCTGGCTTTCTACCATCCGCCTTGCTTTTTACGGAGCCACCATCGTGACGGAAACAGACCGAAACGTGTTTTTGTCTAACCGTTCGTACATCGTATGAACCTGTATAGTCTCTCAACTTCGATTGTAAGATGATTGTGACTCGAGTGAAAAAAAAAAACCCCTCCATCAGGAAATCACTGAAGGGTGCTTTTTCAGTTGGGTCAAACTACAGAATACAGGTCTACTTATTTCCATTTCATCAACTAACAAAATCCTCTCTTGTGATATCACTCTTTCTTCAAAGCCTTCCGACAAAATGAACCCCTAATACATCTTTTATAAAATTTTTCCAGCTTCAAAAAATGCAACTGGTATTTCTGTCAGCTTGAGGATATGATAATGATCTATCGATCGTTCAGAAAAGATGGATCAAAGCTTACCTTGATTTTCAGAACTTTGATCAAAAACTTCAAACATGGACGTATGACTGTTACTGGCCTCTTTTACTGAAAAAAAAAAAAACAAAACATTATTTCTTTTACAGACTGTGGTAGCTATAAAAGACGAGTTAAAGCCAAGAAGCTAATCATATAGAACAAAACTCACCAGAACTCGTATCCATGTCAAATACTTCAATTTCGTCCTCCGGATCTAAAGAGATCTCGGGTTCGAATAGAATACTGGGTCGAGAATTCTTGATGGGAGTGCTATGAAGCAAATAATCGCCCAAGCTTGAGCACGGAGTATCGGAACTATCGTCAAATACTTCAACAGAGAGATCGTGACTGCTTGGGTCAGTGTCCATCTTTGACAAGAACCTGATTGCTGTGATTGGAATCAGGGGCTCTCAGTATCTGTTAAAACATGTGAAACGCATTGTGTTTCTGTTCAATTATTCCCAAGAGAGCAATGGTGCGAAATTTGAAAACCGGCCTCTCACGTGTGCATACTGAATCAGCGTAATCTAAAAACAGATTAGTTAAACAGACTAAAAATGATACACTTTCTACAGCAAGACAAATTCAGTGGAAATAGAGATTGTGGAAGAATAGTTCAGGATCACGCAGTGTGTATCATCAAAACATCAAATCGAACAACAATGAAGTCTTTGTTAGTATGGTGTTTCCGGGGTGTGACTGGTACCGTGTGACTATCACACCACCTGGGGAAGCGATAGATTCCACGTTCTACCAACGCCGTGCACCAACGATAGCTGTTAGTCGCGAACAGATCATCTGCCTCTAAACAAAGTACTTTCACAATGAAGACATCCGAGAAAGAGAAACTTTGGAGTGTTTCGATTCAGGACGGCCGAGCAAAAGTTTTCAGGAACAACATTCCTCTGAAGAGTAATCACAATGGCCAGGAATACGGTTTCTTGTTAGGAGTGACAGTCAAAGTACAGTCCGCGGGCAATAAGTTGATCCAGGTCAGAAACAACCTTAGATGTATTATTTTTAAATCTTATTTTGAAGTAATGAGCTTACATGATTTAGAACGTCTGTTTAGCTCTTTACTGTGCCTTATATGTAAGTTTACGTCTTAATCTTTAGCGTGAACGCGGCGCCTCTTCGGCTGAAACGCAGAGCTATTTTATAATAACTGACCAAAAAAAGCTATAGGCTCGATTACAGACCCACCCTGGTCCCAGAGGTTTTTCTTGATATTTCTCTTTTCTTGATTTTTCTCCGCACGAGAGAGCTGTGACAGAGCCGCGAAGCGCGAAACCTCTGGGACCAGGGTATTACAACCCGGACAGGAGAGAGCGGCGTAAATCGAGCCTAGTGAAGCTATGTGTTACTATTTGGAATAGACCCTTCATCTCCGTGTTTGTAGCAGCAAATTAGCTGGAAGTCAAACGCGGAAAAAATAAGGTAAATGAGTAGGTTAATTGTGTTCATTCCGTTTTTTTTTCTTTTTTAGGATGTCACGCAACGCTGGGGGAGCGTTGCGCGAAATCCCAAAAAACGGCTGCGGAGGAGACTAGATCAAAAACCGAGATAACCATCACCAACCTCGTTCCCAGTGTCTCCTGTGGGAGAGAAACATGAGAGACCCTGGGAATGAGGTGATACTGCAGACTAATAGTCCCTCTTTCGCTAAGTCGTGCGTGACGCGAAAGAAAACTGCGACAACAAAAAAAATTGTCGCGCGAACCGTGCGTCTCACCCCAGGATAAAGATATTTGTGTTGTTGTATAAATAGCGATTGTAGTGGTTTGTCATTCATTTATCCTTTGAATTTAATAGTTGGAGTTCGAAAGTCAAAAGGAATCAGGAACCAGTAGCCTAAAAATTGCATTGTTCAAGGCGAAATACTTCAATAAGTTCACGTCAAGTCCCCCGTTCGACAAGTGCTCCTCCAAAGACGTCAACAAATTGGCCGAACAGCTAGCGCATGCCCTTGACTCGCTGGACTCCAGCCCTCGATCGGTAGGTGTTGCAGGGACGCCCACAAGTGCACGAACGAAACGGAACACTGACGCTCCACTTGCTCCACTAAGAAGTGATACTCCACAAGATGTCGATGACGCTATTACATGCACACGTTCACCCACAGAACGAATTACTGACTCCCCAAAAGATGTTGATGCTCTGAGCACGCCAAGGGAACGAAGCACTCCACGACATGTTGCTGATACAATTGCTGGTGGTGAAATCTCCGAAAGCACAGCAGGACCAAGTCAAGCTAACGAAACCCCTGTTTCCACTAAACAACCGCTTAAGCGAAAAACGCGGCTTGTATTTTCACTCGAGGACCAAAATCAGGCGAAGAAACCCAAGAAAGAGGACGAGTTGCGGCGAGCATGTAATGAGTGTCTTGTTAGTGGTAAGTGAATCGAAAACTTTGATGACATTCATACAAATTTTCTTTGACGGCTGTATTTCAGACTTTGTGACGAACTTGGTGATTTTTTACCTAAGTTAAGCTTACTTTTTTTTCTGGAATTCAAAATATAAGCTTATCTACGCTTGAATAAAGTCGACTTACTTACTAAAGTTTATACGTCGAATTTAATTCAGACGAATTTAAATCCTTCGTCTGTGAGACGTCGACATTAGAGCTCCGATTTAGGGTAACCCGAAAACACTGATCCACGGTCCGCGGACTACCTATGGAGCGGTCCACAGAGGTAGAGGTGGTCCGTAGAGGGGGTCCGTAGGGGTAGTCCATGGACCGGTCCATAGGGTAGTCCATAGACCGGGGCTCAGTGTTTTGGAGTTACCCTCAGATTTAGATGACAAATTAAATTCAGACGACTTCAACTCAGCATTCACACGAATTGAAAATTTTAAAACAGAGAGCCAGTGTGCTGACACAGCCATTGAACAGCGCAAAAGAAACATGGTGCGCTTCAGGAATGGGATTTTTTTAAACGATTAATATGGAATTCGAAAGATTAAAGAGGCAACAACTTCTTCATCAAATGATATTGCTAGCTGTGATCATGAATCAATTATTGTTGTGAGTCTTGATTATTCTCTGTTTCTTGCTACAATCTTGTAAAGCCATCACTATCTTTGAATGTCACTATACTTTGAACGGATATGTCGTTAATCTTAAGTTTGTTTTGCCTTTCATGAAGCCACGGCCCACTTCATTCCAATTGGCAATATAGAATTACCAACAAAAGCAAGGCAGTTCAGAAGGGTTAATGAAGAGTTTGTCAGCAGCCTGGAAGCTGAAATGGGACGAAATCCTGCTGGAAGCTATGGGGCCCTTTTTGTGGTGGCCAAGGAAATAACGAATAAAGACGAGTGGAAATTAAAGGACAAGGACTCCTACACTTACGAGGTCCTTGGAGGAACACATCTTTCTTTGGCCACAAAACGCATGCATGAAAAGCAGCCCAACAACCCACACTTCGCTGGGAGAATGTGCAGAATTTATGTTGGCCTGAGTGCTGAACAAGCTGTATACCTTGGAGGTATGCATCAACAGTCCTCAATGTTTCAACATGAAATTACATACAGAGAGGAGGTGAGACCAATTTTGATGTCAAAGCTCTCTTACTCCAACACACTTTTACAGTTGTGAGTGTATGTACATGTACAATCTGACTGGCTGTATATTGTATGGCATGATATAAAATAGTTGTGCAACACTTTCTCTTGATATACCAGGGAATGTCCCACTTGTCGCTTGTATTTTCTTAGTATACAGGCTTGCCTTGAGGCTCATGTGTGTACCCAAAAAAATACAAGTGGCTCATGCAGTATCCCATGATGTACCTCTCAAAAACGTTGCATAACTAGCATGTGTCCGTTAAGGCTGTAATTCAATTTTCAAGATGCTGATGACACAAGGAAAGTACATGTAACCAACTGCTTTTTATTATCACCTCCCCTGGTTATTGTCTTTAGGCTATCGTCAAACTGTTGAGTTGGAAAATATTCTCACTGCAGCAGCTGCTGGTGATAGGCATTTAGGGCAATTGACTATGGCAACAACAAAAAAAAATATCATTTACAGTTTCGGTTTAATTAATATTTATGCATATGCATATTATATATGTATGGGCACGCACACAGAAAGATTGTTGTAAACTTGAACTTACAGTTGGGTTCACATCAGCTACCTGAAGCAAAAGTAACATGGCATGCAGGTTTGCTGTACATTTTTGCAGCTATACAGATGCAGTGGAAACTTCTACCACATGAGTGGGTAGGTTTTGTGGTAGTTGCTAGTACATTTGGTAAAAGCATCAATTGAGATAATGTTTTTCATTTTATACAGGTTGAACGATGTCGAATGCACTTGTTTGGATGTCCAGATGTTTCTGGTGATCCGCCAGAGCCAACGGCATCATGGAGGGATGACTGTTCTTGTGTATTGCATAAAGAGGTATCTTACAGTCTAAAAACTTGCAGTGCTCCACTTGTTGTAGAGAAATAACTTGCAAGCAGTTTCAATTTATTATTAGATTCAAACTTAAGGAATTTAGAGGAAGGTACAATGTCACAGTCCTTTGGAAATTGGCGGTAAGGTGATTACTGCATGATGAAAACTCACTGGACATTATTTTGTCTTTCTCTACATGCAGCACAGACACAGTGAAATACAACACATGCATACACAAGTGCTAAACACAATAATCATGTAGAATNCTTGAACTTACAGTTGGGTTCACATCAGCTACCTGAAGCAAAAGTAACATGGCATGCAGGTTTGCTGTACGTTTTTGCAGCTGTACAGATGCAGTGGAAACTTCTACCACATGAGTGAGTAGGTTTTGTGGTAGTTGCTAGTAAATTTGGTAAAACCATCAATTGAAATAATGTTTTCATTTTATACAGGTTGAACAATGTCGAATGCACTTGTTTGGATGTTCAGATGTTTCTGGTGATCCGCCAGAGCCAAAGGCATCATGGAGGGATGACTTTTCCTGTGTATTGCATAAAGAGGTATCTTACAGTCTAAAAACTTGCAGTGCTCCACTTGTTGTATAGAAATAACTTTGAATTTCATTAATTGCGAGCAGTTGCAATTTATTATTAGATTCAAACTTAAGAGCAAATGTGCCCAAAAATCAAACATTTTCAAAATATCGCGGCAATAGCCAAAAAGATAAATTCTGCTCATATTCTCAGGTCTGGCATTATCGATTTTCTTGTAAATAAATCGATATTCAGCCAAACGAAGCATGTCGTGATTTGCTTCACACTAAGGCTGCCAAACCTGAGAATATGAGTAGAATTTATTTTTTGGCTGTTGTGCGATATGTTTCATCATTGGGAACATCCACTCTTAGGGAATTTTGAGAAAAGTACAATGTCACAGTCCTTTGAAAATTGGCGGTAGAGTGATTACTGCATGATGAAAACTCACTGGACATTATTTTGTCTTTCTCTACATGCAGCACAGACACAGTGAAATAGAACACATGCATACACTAGTGCTCAACACTATAATCATGGAGAATTCAAAATTATTGTAATATTTTTATTTTTAGTTTAATTTTATTTTAGTTCCTTTTACCCGCTTTAACACCTTGATTTATTTGTTATTGTTATTGATATTTTCATTACAGAAGAAAGGATTCAGTGAAGTGTTTGCAATGGCAAGGGTAGCGAAGGATGTTTGGGAAGAATTTCAGGAAGTTAATTCTTTGTATGAGAAAGGGAGTCTCAAAGATCAAAAAGTCAGTGCAGGAGAAGTCATGAGGGGATTTGTGTGCCTAAAACAATGGCACATCAAGCCGCTCTGTAGCCTAAGTGATAAGCAAAAGCTCTATTTGTTAAGAAAGGTGAAGTAACTAGTTTTATTTAGGTCAGTTTTATATCACCCATAACATTCTTTGAATGCTATGATTGACAATATAATTACACTCAGCAGAAAGGTGACGAAAGTTTAGAGCATAATTATAATATTGTTATGTGGCTGGCATGACAGTATATAATGCAGGACTTACCTGC